CTATCTTGAACTTATAGATAATTTAGAACTGCCAAAAATCTCCTCCTTCGTATTGAGTGGGCATGGCCGCTTTGAATAGACGAATACAAATCCTTGTGAATGAATTAAGAATTAGAATGAAACTTAAAAATGTGAAGACAAAACTGTTTCAGATGCTTCTCCCTTACCAGGATTCGTATTAAAATTCATTTTATTTTTTTATTTTTATTTTATTTCATAAATCAACTTACAACTATCATTACAGGCTGTACCTAATGCGATAGTGAAGTTCGAATACAGTTAGGCTAACATATAACTCTACTTATAAATAAAACTTAAACACTGAGAACATGGAACGTAGCTAATGTGAACTCGTTCAATGAGCAATGGAATAAATCTAATTCATTAGCTATTGTATTTAAAGTACAAAACGCGCGATTCAGTGGCGAGTTACTTAATAAATTAGTCCGTGACCTAGGTACAGATAATAGCATCGGCCACCGCCTTCTCCTCAAATATCCATCTGGTACGCATAGCCTCATCTGCTGCTATACAATCGGATGATTTATTTTGCCACGCAATACCTTAAAAAGGTACGTGCCTAGAAAAACTTCCCTCCTCACTTCAAGACTAAGTGTACTATATCCCACCATACCTAGAACAAATAAAGTAGGATATAGTACAGGATAACCCGGATACACTCGATATAATTTAAAATACAAAAATCGAGCAAATTTGCTATTAATACGTTCGAGCATAATCTTATATTTATTTTCATCAATTGTATCTACTAAATATCACTTTTTAACAATCTTCAAACAAGGAGGAGGTACTCGATTTGATTGTTTTTTTTTTTCGTGTTTGTTACCTCAGAATTCCATCATTTATGAACCGATGCTAAAAAAATATTTTTGCATAGGGTTCTGTTTAACCATGTACCAATGTTCTATTATTGGACCATAATATGGGAGGTAATAAAATTGGTATTGGACCTTATACTCCTCAATATCAAATAGAAAAAGCATAGTGAGTGAGATATTTGAAGTCGGTTTTCGTTTTGTTACTAAAAATGAGAAAAATATAGCAATATTACGGACGCCATTTAATTTAAAGTTATAGCTTGCACTAGTGAAAATAATAGTAACCACCAATGATATACAAATAGATAGGTGGCGTCCTACGACAGCTATCAGCTCTCAGCAATACTCGCTTCACAACCCTCCAGTGCATGTTGGGCCGTCTCCTCAGCATACGTCGCAATGATACGATCGTTGACTTCTAGGGAAGGCGTCTAAGTCGGACCCGATTAGACTCGGTTCGGTATCAGTTAAGAGTCGTAGGTCAGGTGGAAGCCATAGCTTCGTCACTCACGTTGAAGTCAAGAGGAAGGGTACACTGGGCCGGCCTGTTGTGTAAGCCGGCCCACGATGGCCTGTCTCCGAGCTCAACATTACACTGATACTGATAAATTTTTCCTCCATTTCTGAAACTCTTTCACTCTTCTGAAATTTTATTCTTTCGTCACTAGTAACTTCTTTTTCTAAAATCATGGTCCCCATACTTGTCAACCAGTCTGGCGACTCTTGCTGTCAGGTAAGGGCACCTTGTTCCAAGAAGTCGGCCGAAGTAATAAATATTATTGTGCAACCGGCCTTGTTTTATGTTTTTTGTGTCTGTTTAATGGCATAAGCCTTCCGTAACAAAGCAACAACAAACGCAAGTAGAAGCAAAAACTGAATGGTGATATCATGATATTTTACACCTCTAATTCAACTGATATTAAGACTTAAAATAGAATCAACCTAACAGTGATATAGCTTGTACATTAACATGACTATGTTTATCCCGAGGTCTCCACAAAACAAGGAATTGGTCGGCACGTTTTCCATCCGATTAAGAACTTGTGTATCCTCCTCATTACTTATATTATCTATGTTTGTATTAATTAAACAATCAAACATGAGACAAATTGATCTCTAAAAGGTAAAACCGCAATGCAAACTAGCAATAAAAAATTAAGGTATATTTCCTAATTTTGCCTTAGTTAAGTAGGTAATCGTTACAGCCATAACGTAAACACGAGTAAATATGAAGGTCTAAGAAATTCACCAAAATTAACATTATTAATACTACATGTTAGAACACTGGCAAAATATCTACGTGAGTGATCTCATTAATAAATTACATCTAAAGCTGGCTTCGGTATCTATGACCCTAATATGGGTAGGAGGAGCTCTTGCAAATAAAACTGGTTACAATATTCGACTTGGTTTCTGGAGATAGATTTTTGTCGTAAGTAATTATTGAGCTAATGTCAAATATCGAACGCTAGTAACCAAATCTGTCTGTAGATAGAATATTGAAACCGGCCGTAACAGTCTCACGTTGATAAAATTTGGCATTGAAAAACAAGTAAAAAGTTAAATATGTTATCATTGTTATCACTGTATCATCATTCAATCATTTCATAGAATCTTTGTGAAACACCAAAATAAAACAACATTTTCATTTAAGTTTCTTATATTTGGATTTTAGAACATTAATAAGTATTGTGTACAAGCAATTATTTAATATGTTACACATCGTTGGGGGTAAAGCTAAAATCGAAGAGATGTTATTGTGGATTATTGAATTTTTACCGACTTTGTATAAAATTATCTTATTCTAGTGAACATAGATTATTTTTTAAATATTGTTGTTATGGATAAACTGCATTTAGGCATAATCAAACTTTTATTCGCTTATACCTCTGTGTGTTAACTTTTAAGTTGATAAGCCATCATTACCTTTACTTCCAAGAAATTAGGTTCATGAAAATAATTAAACAAGATTTGAACGATACGTACTGTGTTCAAATGATTTATATTTAGCTTGTTCCTATTTTTTTAATGAGGCGCTAAAAACAACGACTAATTAACATTATAATAGTGCACAAACTTTTGTTATTACTTTTTAAAAATTATGTTAATCTTAATACTAATTTTTGTTAAATTATAAGATACTATATCACAATTTTTTAAATATCCTATTTAACTAAAACCCTAGAATTAACTATAACAGAGTGAATGACTCGCATCCTTATTTTAGACGAAATTTTGCAAAAACAAAATGATTTACGGACAGCAATCATAATATTACTTTTTTTAATATAATTTTATATACAATAGTTTATTTTTAATATTAACTAGAAAAAGGTAGACAACTGTAAGAGTTATTATTGCTTCTATAACACAGGAAATTCGTTGGTAGGTAGTCATTTATTACATAAACTTATTTTATCGTATAGGCGTTTATATATAACTTTAAAAATATTACTTTATTTTCTAAAATTTCATATTAATTTGGATACTGTTCAATTAAATACCTTGTACAATTTTTAATTTTAGGATTAAGATTATAATTTATTTGAACCCTTGACTCTATAATACAAAACTATCAAATAAAATAGATTTTTTTTTATTAAAGTAGTTATATTTTGGGTCGAATTTATTTTAGATCAATCTGAAATAAAAAAATGTTTTATAAATTCAGTCGTGAATTTATTAATTGATCTGAAGACTATAATTTTTTAGGTATAAAAAAAATATGTTTCGCTGCATTTAATTAGGGTTAGGCGTTATTTTTATCAAAAAAATAATACAGACGGATATTAAATGAGTCTGAATAAAAAAAAAAACGCTATACTTGTATTAATTTTGCCATACCTGAAGCCACTTTTAAAATTTTTTATCTAGTCCTGAATGAAAATTTGCTCAAATATGAACTGTCTAAGTACAATATAAAGTCAATGGCACGCAAAAAATTAGCTCAAATAGCTTCTGTACAATTTTTTGTGAAACGTATCGACAATTAAGAATGGTTATGGACAAAATACATATTATGAATTATGTATTTCCTTACTATAATAATATTATAAACGCGAAAGTTTGTATGTATGGATGGATGTTTTTTACTCTTTTACGCAAAAACTAAAGAATAGATTTTAATGCAACTTTACAATAATATCGCGAACAACACATAGGCTATAATTAATAAAGATATTGTGTGAATGGTCCAAAATATATAGGGATGATAAGGGTCAAGTAAGTATGAAAAAATTCAGCGATCTGCGAGATATTCCGGTGTATAATCAAAAACTCCTCGTTAATTCCCTTTGGCCGCGCGGGCGAAAGCGCGGTTAACAGCTAGTTGATTATAAATTGTATACACAATTTTATATAAATTTATTTTATACTAGCTGACTCTCTGACGGTCTTTTGCCATATAAATTATTTCTAGAGGAATCGGAACGCACGCATAAAGTGTTTGACAGGCTACACAGACATAGTTGATAGGTTGACAGGTACAGTGTGTATGGGAAAAAAAATTGTTGCTATTTAGATTTTCCATGCAATTTTTCCATAATTTCTCATCGTTTAAACCTTCCCTGGACTGCCAAAAATATTTCAAAACCAAAATTAGCCAAATTGGTCCAGCCGTTCTCGAGTTTTAGCGAGACAAACAAACAGCAATCCATTTTTATATTTTGAATGGCCTTCTTGGATACATTAGTTTTTTTAAACATCTATATATATTAAAGAAAATAAACAGGTAAAATAGTTTTATAGTGTTTGTAAATCACTTATAAAAGGGGTTATGTAGCTTTTATGGGGTCTATCCTCTAATCACACAAGTTTGTGTGTTATTCTAGTTACATGTTTAAATGTAACTATAATGTAGTTGTGTTATAACCTAAGTAATATTGACGGGAAGCGATAAACAGCTTATGGCTGTGTCGGGCAATATAGAATGTAAATGACCAAGCTGAAATACACATACGAAACGTACACTTTAAAAAAGTATTTAGGAATTACCTCGAGAGTTGAATCTGTGTAATTCGATGCTTCGTCTAACGCTTCAAATTATTCTGAGCCATCGTAAGTTTTTTGCCGTCGATCTCACGGCACACATATCAACTATATTAATATTTATATTTTATATATAGTAGTACATTAAGTTTAAATAATTTAATATACAGACTAAAGAGCTGATTCGGCCTTCTTGTTCTTCTCTTTGTCGCTACTGGAGGACTGTATGCTGCCGTGTTTCCACTCAGGCGGGTAGCCATACTGCCTCACGTCGTCCCACCACTGCTGCTTACCATCTGCCCAGATGCAGTACACCACGTTGGTGCCTACCAGCACAGCGAAGCACACCCAGAACGCCACCCGCCATTGCGACAACGTCGACTGAATTAATACAGAAAAGCTATGTTTATCATGTGAAAAATAATCGAAGAGCTTGGACCTTGCTCGGATTATAATGGTTCTGATTTTTTTAAAGGTGCAATGAAATCCAAACGTGATGCAAAAGTTAAGCTGCCGTGAATATGAATCACACTAGACTACACTATTCAATTACTAATAAAATTAAGGGTACTAAATTTAATTCGTAAAATGTATTACGACGCAATTCATCATCCTCCTTCCCTAATCCCATCCCACTTAGGTGTGGTCGGAACAACATGTGAATAATGTTGTAAGTCGTTTATCGAGCAATTATCTCTGGGTCACACAAATACGTGTCCCGAGTGGGAATCGAACCCACGACCCCCGACGCCGATGCCTAAAGCTTAGCAACGCCGCCACCAAGTCATCAACTTTTTATTTTGTAAATTATCATTACAATTTTAACCACTATTATCATTTGCTCATGCAAATTAACGCAAAAACATTGAAGGTGTTTGGATGATAAACAAATTTACGTCGCGTGTTCATCTGACGAATGAAATAAACATATTTCCAAGCTCTTAAAGAAATCGCACCAGTGATGACCCAATTTTTAATACCGAAAGAGCCGAGAGCATGAACATGATTTATAACCATTACGTCGCTCTGCGTAATTCATACGACAAAGTGACCATTTTGAGGGAACACTTGACAGATTACAAAACAGTTGATCCTACACAAAAGCGTTTTGAATTTAGAACAACACAGTTTGCCTCCTCGAACAGTTCAAGGTTCGCGAAAGACATACAACGTTCAGGGTTTATGCAATATTGAGTATTATCTTAAAGCCGCAAACTTTGGTTCAAGCCCGGAGTTTCGAGTCTTTTGTTCAGTGGTAAAGTTCGCAGAAAGTTTCTGTTAAGTCTTTTGATAAACTTTAAGGTGGTGGCTTTTGACTCATTATTTCAAGTGATGCCCTTTACCTACTCCATTTTTTGTGGTTTCTAATGGTTAAATCAGATACGCTTCAAAGTTTTATATAACAGAATCGGGATATTTTAAATTTTAGATTTTAACGAGAGAAAGCATTTTTGGTCGCTGGAGAAAAACTATGTATTCATAGCTTTTAGATGGTTAAAAGGCAGCTCGTAAAGCGTCAATATAAACAAGAGAAATACGTGAAAAATAAGGGAAAAAAATGTGTGTACTTATTTACGCAATCAAAGAGTTACTTCTTTAGCGTAAAAATACGTTTCTTTGGGCAAAAAAGATAAATGCAATTGACAATGGCTTAAATAACTTGGAATTACAGGTAAATGTCAAAAAGTTGTGATGGGTTTCCATGTTAATACCGTGAAGTTGGTTACTTTGAATATGTATTTATATATAAAATATTACTAATTATTAATCCCGCATAATAATATAATTATTGGTCCCGACCAAGACAGGCTCGTAGAAACGTGGATAGCTTTTGCATATTTCGTGAGGGTTGAATGTGAATGTGCGAGTTATATTGTCCAACTATAAGAATGTGGGAACGGCGCATGATACTCACGTCGGGTGTCAACAACCCTATGAGGTAAGGCGTGATGATTCCCGAAATCGTTGAAGTTCCATTGATCATCGCCGTTAATGAGCCGGCGTAGTTCGGAGCCAAGTCGAGTGCATTAACCTGAAAGCGTTTCGGAGAAACATAAAGCATGACAGCAGTAAATCAATTTTAAAATAAACTGCCGTCTCTTATCTCTTATTTGCGACGGAGTAGAAAGCTCAGTACACGAGTCAACTTTTACTTAAGTTGATTCTACAATTAAGACAACTTCGCGGCACTTATTGGATCAAAAACAGTTACAGACTTCACGTAACGCCCCACAGCTGGGCAACGATCTGTTTGTAGAGTATAAGAGAAGGAATAGGCCAACACGCAACACGAATATGGATTAGCGGACTGATTTATAATAGAAATATATGCATATGTATACTAATAAACAACATAGAGGCTATCATATAAACAAAAAAATTAAAATTAATCGTGCGATTGAAACATAAAACTCCATTTGTTTTACTACGCCGTGCGTTAATAGAGAGGCTAAGTAATTTTGCCCTGTTTACGGTCAATATCTGCAGGCAGTACTTGTGTCAAATTAGGAGCTATCCCATCGGCTTACGGTTCAAAATCATCGTGCGCTTCGCTATTCCCCGGTCAACGACATTCGTATTTACAAAGTACGTACGAAAAGGCAAACACGTAATTTATTCAGGAAACGAAAACATTTGCAAAGGTTGCGTGCGCTCACCTTCATTCCGCTGTAAAATCCTCCCATGAGGGCCATCGAGGCAATAAAATATGCGACAGCTTTGAAACGATCGCAGCCGGAATATGAGGCCAATATAATACATATCGCAGGACCCGTAGCGGCTAATGAAATAAAGACATAAAACATGTTACTTCGTTTCTTATTACATAAGGTCTTAACAGTCCCTATGAAATAAAGAACGTTTATTTTATATTAAAAATCCAGTGTCATATTTCCCTCTACTGTTACAATTAATAATATATGTAAATATTAAAAAAAGCAACAAAAAACGCAACAAAAAGGAAGATCCGTTACATTGTATGAAAAAAATACTTTAAGTTGTCATCGTTAAACTTTTAAATTTTAGGAAGAAATGAAAGTGTAAATTTCCTGATCCTTCTAGGTTGATATTTTTGAGGGTTTATAATATCATGTAATGTCAAGAGACAGAGGGAGATGAGCGTAACATAGCAATGATAATACCAACCTATAGTAGTGTGGATTATTCTCCCCGTCTTAATCGAATGCCATCCCTTTTTGACGCATCCATCGCATACCCAGCCGAATACGAAGGAGCTAATCCACATAGCGAGATATGGAATGGAAGTTAACGTGCCCGTGGTGGCGATATTGAATTTGAGAACGTCTGTCATGTACTTGGGTAGATCTGTTACCATTGTGTAGTAGCCCCAATCGTGGCCAACCTGAAATGATTGTTAATTTATTTTAAACAAAATAGCCTAGTCACAGAAATATCATTTTCACTACATAGTATAAAACAAAGTTGCCCCGCTGTCTGTCGGTCCATATGTATGCTTAGATCTTTAAAACAACGGATCTTGATGCGATCGTTTTAGTAGATAGAGTGATTCAAGAGCACTCGAGCAAAGCCGGGGTGGGTTGCTAGTATAAGATATTCAATAGAATTTCATTGTTTTGCGCCACGCATTTATCTTTCTTATGCACGAAGATAAACACCAGATGTCAAAAGTATCCTATTAATGAGTGTTCATTGCCGTATGCGGCTATCAACATATTTTTGAGGTTTTCTTTATTAATTAAAGAAAGTTGTCAAGAATAATACAAATACAGATTCGTACCATTTTTTTTTTAATTTTAAATGAACTTTACGGTGACAAATTATTTTTATGGATTGTGTTTCTTGCAAGTGACGAGAATAAACTAAACTATTTAAAGAATGTAGATATTTAGTGATCCTTTGTTTGTGTGAAAGAGACAAAGCTAACAACTACTGGTAATTAATACCGGTTTACTTTACAACCGCTAGCTTTTTCCTACATTTCAAAGATTTGTATATTAAAAAAGTTTCACAATACAGCTTTGCATAAGATAGACATAAGACTAACGATAAGACTAACGATCAACAAGCTTTTTTTTTTAATTGATACGGTAAATTGATAAATGTTGCATTTATTTATTTATATACTTTAGTTTTAATTTGCATTTAGTGATTGATCACGATACTATGCGAACGATTTACATAGGTAGATTAAATTCTTGATTTTATCCTAAGGACGGTTCTTTTTTTTCTTAAAAACTGAATAGTACGCATTACTCGGACCACATATAATGACTTTTAAATATTACAACCGAATTTATCGATATGCAACCTGAGGAGTAGTCTTTTTAAGATGATAAAAAGACTTTACTCCTCAGGTTGCATGCTACTCAGAACTTTCCAGGCATTAGCCATTACTAGTTCATATTCTAGTATCAGAATTAACTAAATATAGCTTAAATCTATATCATGTTTATTGTTTTATTTGAACAGGGGAAACTTACGGCAGCAAACAAAAGGGCCCACACCGGGACTGATCGGACAATAGCCTTCCAAGGCACGGGGTCTCTTACGCTTTTCGTATCAGCGCTTGTGACGTGCTCATTTAGATATTTAAGCTCTTCGTCCGATATGTATGGATGTGTGTTCGGCGTACTGTAGCAAAGGATACTCTGAAAGGAACCACAAATCGATGGTTGGAAATAAAAAATATTTTGATATGATGACATCATCCTTAATAAGTTGATCTACTATCTGCTTAACTTATTTAAATTTTAAAATCGAATTATCTATATCGCAACAAGAAATAGAAAATATATATATTTCAATATGATTGTGGAGTTCATTAAAAAGCTGCAATATTGAGTTTTTTTTAGCTTTAAAACATACAAATAATACGTATATTTTATTCATACTTTATCTATTAAATAAAATAATGAAAAATGGCGAATTATCACTAGTTCTGACCGCATTAAGGAACGGTTTAATGTTTCTCGAATATTACCAAACGCCGAAATTTTAAATGTTAAAGTTTCAATCTCAATATTTAATTAGCAACATAAAAATTACTCCCATTTCCGTATCAGAATTTTTTATTATTATATTATTAAATCCTAATCGGTAGACACACGTTTATAATAGCACATCAAGCCAACTCATCGCGAATGACATATTAAACTCATTAAACTAATTAACCATATCAGCCCAATATGTTTATAAGTAGCTCCCAACAACCAACATTTGTAGAAATTTAAAATTTAAAATTTGTTGAAAAAGTAAGAAAAGATTTTCGCCGCTGTGGGAATCGAACCCACGTCTTCGGCATTCGCGGCCTGACACTTTAGCCACTAAGCTAAACGGCTGACTGCCACACTGACAAAAATCCGCCCGGGGAAGTACCACGACCTCACAGAAGACCGGCTTGAAGTGGAAGTGTTATACTTCTGCGTTTCGTCTATTGAGTGAGGTAAGTGGATCCCACTATTTTATTAAAAGGTGACAATGCACCTGCAACCCTACGATTATCACTTAACAACACGCGAACTGCTAGCCCGTTAGCCACCTTTTCACATAAAAATGGTCTCACCCAGAACAAGAACCACAAGATTCCGAAGCAACCGAAGAAGTAGAACACGTTAGCCCAATCGCCGTTACCGGCCATGAGAAATCCGGACATAAATGATCCAAATATGTTCCCAATCTGAGCTCCTCCAAACACCAGCGCGCCCTGTCGAGATCTCTCGTGCGGGGGAACCCATCGAGCTAACACTATCATCAAAGCAGGCATCGTTGGACCCTGAAAAAGATAACCAAGGTTCAGATATAATCAATGTAGTCGCAGGCCGTGATAGCTCAGTGTCCGGGCGCTCGCCTTTAATTCAATATACTTGAACAACCTGAGTTCGATCCCCGGTGCCGGCACCAATGAAGTTTTTAACTTTAAGTGCTGACTTATCACGTGCTCCGCAGTGAAGGAAAACATCGTGAGGAAACCTGCATATTTTCGAAATAATAACAAAAAAATATTTCGAAGATCTGTGAAGTCCGCCAATCCGCAGTGGGGCCGCGTGGTGGACTATGCCCTGATACCCTCTGTAAAGAGGAGGCCTTTGCCCAGCAGTGGGACATATATAGGCTGTTACTTTTAGTCGCAGGCACTAGATGAGGGCTTCCAATGACTGAATCTGAGGATGTAGTTCCTAATCCTGAATAGGACTATTCTTCTTTGTCCCCCGCGTCTTAGATACAAAGTTAGTCCTTTTTTTATTAGGAGAAAACGGTTTGTGCACTCGACCTTTTTCTATGGTGACTTCTATAATGGAAATATATTCTGTGCTTCTGTGACGGTCGCATTAGAAATTATTGTAGATTGAATGAGACCCAACGAAGTTAGGACGTAAAATTATAAATCTTTCGTGAGACATTATTAACATAACAATTAAACGGCTGAACTAACGCCCAATCAGTAGATATATATTATTTCGGAGTTATTGGGAGGTATCTATCCTAGCTACCATACACCTAAGTAAAGACGACTATTAGCGAAAACAGTCAACTGACAAACACCAATAGTGTGGAACACTATTATATTTGAGTGCATAGTATCGGAGTTATTGAGCGTGTCTTATAAATGTATACTTCTATTGTATTTGTAGGTCAAGTTCAATGTCCTCTCAATAGAAGAGAATATTTATGACTCGGCTTGGTGAATGGTTCTGGCAAACTAAATGGTAGATTTTGATCCCCACCCAGTCCATGCTAAATGCCATCTTCTCAACATACGAAAAAAAAAACAATTTTATAAAAGATTTTTCGCAATACTTATCTACTAGGTCAGGCTTAAATATCCATACTTCAAATATTTTATATTGCTAACAAATACATCGTCTAACAAAAATATACCGTCTTTCACAAATACTAATGTATTTGTGAAATACGCTATATGATGAATTTGTTGTCACTTAAACTAATAATGGAGAAAAAATATTATAAACTGAACAGACGTTTCAAATCACGCTTCGAAATAATATTTAATTTACGAAGACATTTAAGGAAACACGTTCACAGCTCGTGACAGTCTCGTGTACACGCGGCTCAGCGTTGTTTGAATCACAATTCAAATAAGAGTAAAATATATACATGTATAGACTATTGAATTGTTTGTCATTCGTTTTATATATCCTGTTCATTGTCGTTCTGCAGTAAGTATACGCCTGACCGGAGAGAACTCGTTAGTTCATTCGTTACGTTATATTAATAGAAGATTTGATGTATAAGATATAATATAAATATAATAAAGTCAGTACCAATAAAAAAATACGTGGTTGAACTTTACAAAACTTCAAGACGCGTAAAAATGGTGCGACTGAAGTTAGAGCATTGAGAAAAAATCATCTGGTTAGAGACAAAGTTCATACATTTCATCGTAAAGTAGTTTTTTTCATCGTAGATAGTTGTTTAACTCAAGTTTGAAAATATGTTTCCATTTTCCATTCACTGGTAAATTAACCCAATCTATGAGCTTGAATGTTTAGAAACTTTGAATATCAAGATAAGCGGTGGGTTAACGAAGTTTAGTTGAAAAACTAGTTTTAGGGATACGGCTTAGCTTTGATCGCCATTTACGGAATGACCTCCAATCAAAACTAATTACATTTAAAGGGCACACAGCCAAATGGGGTGTCAAGCAATGCCATCGGTATTCTTATCGGAATAGCTATCAATATGTAATTACAAGCTATGCAACAAACTTTTTTAATTGTCTGATAATTCATAAGGTCACTTGTCTTACAACTTTAACCTGACGACAAATCCTTTCACTTAAACAAGTGATTTACCGGACCTTGTAGTGTCCCAAAACATTCGTGCCCAGTTTACTCATGGCACCGCCATATATCTCTCATATACGGTGTCATATGTACTATGGTGGTATTGCTGGAGCTCGTCACTTCAAATCACAAGTCGATGTACGTAACCTCTAGATTCTCATCTATGATACAGAAGTGGAACTTACAGTACTCACAGTAATCACAGTACCTTGAACTCACAGAAGACCCGCGTGAAGTGGTAGTGTTATACTTCTGTGTTTCATATGACTGAGGTAACCGGGGCCCACTTAATTAAAAGGTGTTGTGGATATTCATGTGCGGCGGTAATCTGAACCACCAGCTCGCTTACCATATTCCTATATAATTAAACAAGGTTTCTTACCTCTCCCATCCCTTGAAGCACACGCAGTATGAACAACCATGTCGCTCCACCAGCTTTGACCACGATTGGCGTGAGAAGAGTGAAAATAGCCGTGCTGAGTAGGCCGATGCCCAAAGTCCATTTACCTCCATATCTCTCGGCCAAATACCCTCCTGGCACGTGTGTTATAGCATAACCATAGTAGAAACCGCTCAGTATGAGCCCTTGCGTTGATTCAGACCAGTCGAATATCGCGTACTGAAATATTACAAGATCCTGAATAAATGTTAAATCATTTACGAATATTTACTATATATAATAAGAGATACTACCCAATGCTTTGTTTTGATTCTAATAGGGTGATCATACGTAAACTTGGTATTCTATACACCAATTTTTATGTTAGAGAATAACGATAAATGATGGATTAAAAGGTCTGTTAAATTATAAACCCCATGTGTGCTACATTCACCTTCTACGTTAAACATAAACTCTGATTCGCGGAACGTGATGTGGGCAACACTATCACAATTTTGTGGTGTGAAACCGTTCCAATCAAATGACTCACGAAATTTACTAATCAGTATTCTGCTGAAAGCGCTTACTTACCTCTTTCAAGCTGACCGTGCCATTTACTAATATCTCACTGTCATCTGGGCAAGCGTCAGGGTCGAAGTGCGATTCCTCGCTCTTTGTGTTGTTGACCATTTGCGTGACGGCGAGATTGAGACACACACGCATAGTGTACGCGTTGCACACCGCCAGTAGGCCCATGATCCCAAGCACATACCGCTGAGGAATTATGAACACTGATCGAAACAAAAAGAATCTATTCAATGTTCACATCGGAAATGTTCTACAGTTTGATAATTGGGACGAACGGTTCACCTGATATAAAGTGATCACTACCACATTTAGACATCAACACTTGAGTATTTATAGAGGACTAATTGATGGATCGCAAAAATATAAATACTTTAAATTCACGCTTGACCGCTGCTTAATTCTCCGAGTGAACCAGCACATTCATGCAACAGAGTAAACCAATGCTAGCCGAACTTAATTAAATAATGAATTTAATATAATACTTACTTTTTGATATTATGCGTCGCCATCTTGGTAACATTTCCACGTAAAATATGTAGATTAAGGAAACCAACGTCAGGTCAGCTCTGAAATAATAATATTGCCTTATTCAATATTCAAAATTACTTTACATATACGAGGATATAGTATATATCTTATACATACTTTCAGATTAATATGTTATTAATTAAGAATTAACGACTTTAATATTTATAATATATCTAACGTATATGTAATATATCTATATAATATATATATATAACGTCTGTACCCGTGAAACATTGAAGAAATACGAAAAAAATATTGAACTCAAAATAATGACCAAACATATTGCTTTAACAAATCAACGAAGAGATTTCACACCTTATTTTATCTGCTCATAATTATGTTCTACTAGCGATCCGCCCCAGCTTCACGGGTGCGATGTATAATACATATAAACCTTCCTCTTGAATCACTGTAACTAGTAAAAAACCGCATCAAGATCCGTTGTGTAGTTTTAAAGATCTAAGCGTACATAGGGACAGACAGACAGCGGGACGACTTTGTAGTATTATACTATGTAGTGATAATACTTGTCACCGACGTATAGCTACTATAATTTAGTGTTAACAAGCGGGCCAAGTCTAAATCAAGTTATATTTATGTAAAATGTAATAATAAATTAGTTACATTGGAAATATTGCAATATTGTCAACAGTTACACTTACTAGACAGTGCTCAAATGTTATTCCACTTAAACGAAAAACAATAACAACACTTAACAATTACCACGGGATTAAATAGATTATAACGGTCCTGATTGCTAAAGAGTAATAAAGATAAATTGATACAGTTTCATGTGATGTTTATCATGCCATTAAACTCTGTTAAGGTAAACATACACACTGCATGTAGCTCAAGTGCCTCAAGCCACGATCTTCATTTATTATCAACTAAACTTTATATGACGGGATAAAATATAAAACTACTGGCTTAAAATTTTTTGCCAGTTATCATAATTATGCTCCGTCTTTGTATCTATTTTGCCATCTTTTCGAAATAAAGAACGTGTATATAGTTATAAATATAAACTCTGTAAACAGCATTTAATAGTAAAACTTACAAGCCGAAAAACTGACGATTTTTTTTTTTGCTTTATTTGTAATCCAAAAAGGATTATAAATAAAACAAATAAGTTTTGTTTACTCGAAACTTTGATTCTGCATTAGGAAAAACCTAAACCTTTTATTCTTATAATATATGTCATGTTTATAAACATGTCATCTGCTGAATAGGATAATGTTAGAGATCCTCAGGTGTGTAGAGTTCAGTGAACCAGGACATGACAACGAAAACAAGCTATGGCATCCGTAATTTCGACTCGTATCTTAAAATATATGAAAAGAGCTGTGATAGCTCGATTTTAATTCAAGATACTTGAGCAACCTAAGTTCGATCCCAATGAAATTGTTAATTTTAAGTGGTGAATTATCACATGCTTAGCGGTGAAAAAAACTTCGTGAGGAAAGCTGCATATTTTCGAAATAATAACAAAAAAAATATTGATAAAAATATATAAGATTTGTGAAGTCCACGAACCCATTTTGGGGCGCTGGGTGGATTGTGCCTTAATACTCTCTATACGGAGAAGGCTTTTGCCCAATAGTGGCCGATACTTAACTTTCATATTAAAATATTTTTTTAACCTTAAAAAGTGGATACATGCTTAGAACATATAATATATTATATAGGTATTGTGAAAAACATTTTAACAATACTTTTTGAATTTTGAATTTGGAACTCAAATAAAAGGTAGTGTAAGTAGTGCCGACTTCGTGTTTGTGAAACCTGCAGAAAATTGTGGCATAATGATATTTCCCTTGTGCGTAGTAACAATAAAATAATAAATATGTATAAATGTAAAAAATTATGTAGGACCATGCAACAGTGTTTACTGTTGCACGAATAGGCAGGCCGCCCGGGTAAGTACCACGACCTCATAGAAGACCGGCATAAAGTAGAAGTGTACAACTTCTGCGTTTTGTCTGGTGAGTGAGGTAGCCCAGGCCCACTTTATTAAAAGTTGACAATGCATCTGCAACCCAACGGGCTTGTAAATGTCTATGAACGGCGGTTATCACTTAACATAAGGTGAACCGCCTACTCACTTGCCTTCTCCTTCCTTCACATAAAAAATCCCATTCTTCATTGCTCGAATAAGATATTTTTTGTGAATTTCAGTATATTAACGCGTGTGCTGTGTTTGCTGGCATGATTTAACTATGGTGAAGTTACTAAGTTAGAAGGTTGTTTTTAAATCAGTAAACTTGTTGGCTTAATTACTGCGACAGAAGTGCATTTCGTTGAGACCATAACTACGTATCAAAGACGTATTTGTAAAAGAAGCAAACAAGCACACGATTAACCTGATCTTGAATGACAGCCGTTGCCCATGAACAACGGATGTTTTCGGTATCGAGGGAAATCTTTAAAAGATACCCTGTCATGACATGACAGGGTTATGTGGGGTTCGTACCCACTAAAACCCCTCGGTGGCCACCTTCTGTACTTTTGGAGGGACTCCGGCATCTCCTACGGAACGCATCGGTTTCCGACAGTACTGCGCACGAATACGCCTCTGAGAAAGATAAACCTTCCCCGATTCCCTCGCCATATTGCAGCAGCTCAAGAAGGAGGGTCCCTACCACTTCTACTCTCCGCCAGTCTATCTGTCCAGTCGTGATACTTTCTCCGCGTAGCCAATTCACTCAACAGTAGAAGCTGCATGCGTACATCAGAATATAAAAAAAACATATAAATTTCATTTTACAGACAAGGGCTATTTTTGAAAGACTTAGATAGCTTGTTTCACAACAAATTCTCACAAATTTTTACAATAGAGAAGTATCGTAATTGCACGCAAAAGAAACTTTTTATCAAAGCATGTAAGTGAATTGGAAGTGGCAATTATATATTCCCATGGCCTCAATCTCTCAAAAAACTTCCAGCAAGAGAATGAACGGTTTCTTATAAACAATTTAATTACTTAATTACCTTCTAATAGTTTCAAATTAATTATATACTACGACATCAACATACGATCTTTGTATGAATTCTTCGTGGTGCATTTAAAATTTCTGAAAGTCTCATAGAGTACTTTTAAAATCATATTTTTTTAATATGTACTGTACAAAATATTCTTCATATAGCGTGGAATTGTGTCCAAACATACTAAGCAAATTTCACGCTAAACGTTAATTAATATCTAGTATATCCGTACAAAATATAGTTAAGTTAATACAGACAACAGTGGTATAAAAAGTAAACACACACGAACTATTTATGACCTATAATTTCTGCGCTTATATTATTGAAACAATCTGCCATATAAAGAACTGAGCAAGTGTTTGCATCAAATACAAATATTTTGTTCCTTTACTTTACACCATTTGATATTAAACAAATTCGTGCACTCATGGAAAACTGTCAAGTAAACATACGGACATAAAGTCTAGTTTTCCTTACTAGTCGTGCTCGAATGCCGAAACTAATAATCGTGTTTAATTAATTTGTTACCTTAATTACCACCAACTATCATGTCAAGCAAACTCGTTTCCATTCGTAAATGGGAAAATTGTGTCTATATTCGTTGTTAAAAAAAGACGTTCATAAAAAATAGCGGTGTGACTTTCTGGAAATCTCTTAAAAGATGTGTTAAATTCTGTCATCATTTGCTATTAAAAATCAACAGAAATGAACTCATTTTAATGCATTTCAAACATTTGTGAAGGTTTTTAACATTTTGTTATAAGTTAACCGCCGTTTTTAAATAAAACAATTTACTGGAAACATGGCTTAAGAGCAATTATTTTCATTTAAGTCTTAACTGAGCTTCTGTTGAATATTTTAAATAAGTATTTGTTATATATTCACGAATATATCACGTGTCAATATAGCTAGTCTACGGAATTATAAAATCTTCTAAAGACAGACCGAAATGTCACCTTTTCACACAACAAAAATAGTATAATAACCCTGAAGTATACGCACTAAACTTAAGTATTTCCACGCTAATGGTAGCCCGGGTTATCAGTGACAACGCGTCAAACATCTCAGTCCGTCCCTTAGCCATAAATGTTGTAAAATTTTTGATTCTCATGTTTTTATTAAACGGCAGTTATTCAATGCTACCCGCAAAAACTGTAACAATAGTCTATGTCGTGGTAAAATACATCGCTCTGCGATTGTCTATATTTTATTCAATATATACAGTCAACAGTTAAAATTAACCTTGATAACATCCGTAAATTAGTTCTATTAAAATCTTTGGTTTGCTCATTTTAATGAAAATATGCGTATATAATATTTCAAGTATTCGAGTTGAATTTAATAAATAATAAGATTCCTATTTGACGATGCTTTACTTTAAGAAGATGCTTCTTGCTAAACCTACGTGCTAAACTTCAAACTTGTAGGCTCAACAAATTTGGTGTTATCATAAAGACTATGGCGCGGCGGGTTGTTAATTCTATTAAAAGTAATAAAATAACAGAATTCTTATGTTTACCAATTTCAATCTAACAAAGTATTTTACTTGTATACGATAACGGTAAACAAAGAGTATTTTGTTATAACTTGACTTGTCATAATTTTGTTTTTATAATTAATGGTAGTTTTTCAGTTTATGTAACATTCCTCGGAAGCAGTTGCTCAGATATTGATTTTGGTGATGTTCGATTCCCACACGAGATCAATACATGTGTGACCCACACATAATTGTTTCGTATCCATATCTAGACTCAAACGTATCTAGATCTAGTCTCGAATCGCTGCCTAACTTCGCAGTTCCCATACTGCTTCACGGCAACATCTGACGCCTTCGTGTTGCCGTCCACTAAAGGTAACAATCACAATCCAATGTACCCATGTAGCCACCTTTTACGGCGGGGAAAGGGAGCCCCAATTTTGGATGAGTGATGATCGCGCTCAATGAAGTGTTGAGAAGTGGTCAGTGTTGATTTCTCCGCCACCTTAGTCGCCGCTGTGAGTTAGAAGGGA